CAGAAGGACACTGAGTGACTACCTGCTTGCTTTAGTTTTATCCTGCCCTCCAATAAGAGCCTGTTGGGAACAAGGCTACTATTCAATCAGGTTTTCCCCCCTCTGCTGGAGAAATCATAGGAACATGCTCTAGTTTGGTATGAAAATGGACCTTTACATTTTCAATGGCATTTTCTCCCCATGGTGAAGCTAAAAATCACTGGTGAGCTGAGCAAATTAGTGTAACTGATGAAAAATGAATAATTTTGGCTCCAAACACTAGATCTGTTCTGTCCACCCAAATGATGAGCTCTTGATTTCTTTACAAAGCCAACAAAAATCCTCTATTGACAACCTACAATCTGATACAGCATCCAAAAGCAAAGAAATCGCCCTGTGTGCTATCACTAAGAAAACATTCTGGATGGCCCAGAGATAAGAACTGACCTCACTTATGGAAATAATCTTTGCTTGGCTATCCATACATGCATAAAAGGGTGTCTTTTTAAAAGCTCACTTTCTCTTTAATAATTGTCTGTTTTTCAAAAGCTATCAGCAGGTGCACCTCATTTCAAAAGCCTCTTGTCCTTCATAATACAATATTCATCACGATTACATAGTATGAAATAAAAAGTAGCAAAACACAAGCGAGGGTAGTTCAATTAAATGCAACATAATCTCTGCTGCAAAAAGAAAAAAAAGAAAAAAAGAAAAAATAGCACTGTAACTAAAATCGGGTTCTGATGAAAGAAAAAAGGAATATATTTCCACATATTTTTAATTATATAGAATTTCCTCAAACATGATTTTTCATAATATATTCCATTAAGTTAACATCATATTTGAAGAAAGAGCATTTTCCGATTTCATTTTAAGCCTGATTTTGAGCAATTACGGTGTCATTGTTCCATGGTAGAAAGGTTGAATTCATTTACTGTGTGGTTATGTTAGTTATGATTGATGTCTCTTCTCCAAATGATAAACCAATCACCCCGATGATGTAATGTCATTTTAAGAGTGCCATAATCACATTTCTCTCAAACTAGAAGCTCTGATGAGTTCTAATAAAGATTTATGGTAGATTAAAGGCCTTCATAATATCAACAATGGATTGCTCATTTGATGAGAGATTTGATTAGATAATTTTTTTAAAAAAAAGAATATGAGTTTGCTAAATATATCAGGCCTGGCTTTGAAGAAGGGCATGGGCCATCATAGGTAGCAGTCTATCGGTCCATTTGCTGAATGAATCATCCTAATACATTTAGGAGGTCCTCTATAATTGGAGAGGTTGAGACCATTGGTAGCTTATATTCATGGATAGAGCCAAAGCAGTCTTTTTGGGGGAGTATTCTTGGCATGCAAATCTCTCTTTTGCTTTTGATGAGCTGTGTTAATGAACATCACAAGGGGCTAACTCAGAAGGCAGTGCCAAAGCCTTGGGTCAAGAGTAGCTAAGGCTCAGGCCGTGGATACTGAATCCTTAGGTAACTGTGCCCTCTTCTGTATTCATTTGTTCAGGTGAACATTCCACAAGGGATGAATCCAGGGCCTGGTTATTGTTGTGCTTGCTCCAATTCTAAGACTTTGATAGTGGGAGTTGAGACATAAAATCCTCCAAAGTGGAACAGAACCTCGTGTTCATCCTCTCTGTTCCGAGAATATGAAAACCCAAACAAGAGCTCCGAATTTAGAAGCTGTGTTTATCTCAGTGCCTCATGATCCGCTCGTTAAATTCAAGTGAAGTGGCGCAAGCAGAGGGTCATAGAGAGGTCGTACCCCAAACACTTCAGTCTTGGCACGATATTCAGTAGTCATGTCAAGGGAACACATTTTAATCGCAAAGCCATATAAAACAAGCAAGGAAGGCAAAGTCAGAAGCCAATGATAAAAAGCAAGGGAACTGAGAGGCACATGAATGGGGCATGTGAGGGTGTCCAGGGTCACTTGGCTATGACCAGAATCACAGTAATACAAAATTCAATATTCCAGTGTCTCCCCACACTTCACCTTTGAGACCAGCATGCTCTGACACATAGCCACGGGCAAATTCCTCCCACAGAAGGAAGCCCAGAGCTTGTTACAATCAGTAAAGCCTCCCCAACAGCTGTGACCTTCAACAGATGCATCTTAGAACCGCCATGCCACAAAAATGACAAATGCATTTCACCTCGATGCTCCCCGTACCACCTTCTCCCAGCTTTTGTTTCAACAGTTGTCACTTTGCTGGAGACTCACAAATGTCAAGCACAACACACCACACAATCAGACAGCACAGTTTCCTTACCACTGCTGGAGGCTTGCTGGGGCCCTGAGCATGCCCTGAGCAGGTATGAATTGGGGGAGAATTCCTCATCAGCATTGGTGTCCATGATCTGATGGGAGGAGTTGCTGTCTAGCAATGGAATCTGGCAGCTAACTGGTGGAGGATTATGGGAGCTAGGCAGCTGAGCAGATGGGAGGAGGCTAGACGAGGATGTAGGTGGAATGGGACGACCTGGGAAAGAGGACAGAGGGGTCAAAGGTCAGCAATGAGTGTCATGAGAGCATCCTAAGAAAGTCACATTGAAACCAGCTCACAATATAATTTTTTTTAATGAAGTGCTCCAGATGAGCTTTTCAGTGGTTTTGATGTTTCTTCACCAGCCCAAATGCACACCACTGGTTACTAGTATGATCTTGATACTTAAGTAATATAATTCAGAAAATGGCATCCATTTGAATGAAATCAACATAGAAAAGTCTAGTTCCTTCTATCTCTCTCCTTTGCTATGATGATTCTAAGTCCTCCTCATCTCTCCCTAAATCATCTCCTTTCTGGTCTGCCCATTTCTACTCTTGAGAAATTGCCCACCAACTCTGCTGTAACTCCATCTCTTCGGCATAGGAGTTAAGATGGCAACTCCTTGGTAGAAATCAGGTCATATCATATTTGTACCCTCCAATGGCTTTTCATTGTATGGAGAAAGAAATCTGAATTCCCCACGATGATGGGCATGCCCTACCTTCTCTGGATAGTAGCTGCTCATCTACTCCCTTACCCAGAAGGCACCCTTCCTATTTTCCACCTGGTTCTTGATTCTCCAATCAATTGGGCATTCTTATTTCTTGAACATGCCAGGCCATTCCACCTTTACATAGATTTTCATTCCTCCTGCCCCCTGCTTCTACTATCCAGCCAATATTCTCAAGACTTCTGATTCTCTTCAGTAAAGCTCTTCAGGTTTAACTGCTTTGAAATAAGAACTACTTTTTCTAGCCTATCTGCCCATTTAAATATCCTCATAGATCTTATTATTACTTGTCACTCAGACTTGTATCCCCATGGAACAAACAAGGAGGCTAAAGTAAAATCAAATCATCTAGCTAAGGGTTGAAGGTGAAACCAAGTGGAGAGGGCCCATATTTCCATGCCAGTGAGTTGATCATTCATTGTATCATGTGGTTTATTTGAACACCATGGCAGACTCCTGTGTGGCAAAGCATGGCTGCTTCATGCCATAAGGAACAGCAGCCAGGCTGGTAGAGTGGGTAGTAACCTGGAGCTGCCCTTGGGTAGAGAAGGTCCCTTTCACATGGGTGACTATTTGAACCTCTTTCTCCATGGCAGCAACCTTCTGACACTGACCTCCTAGCAGTGACAATGGCTATGTCAATGGCTATGTGTTCATCACCAACTGTATCCTTGTATCCAGGATCATTGTAATTGGTAGATGGCTGGTTTGTTCAGAAGCAAACTAATGAAAATGAGCTAGAAGGAGCAGTCCATGACGCTGGGGTGTGGAGGGAAGGGTAGGATGTTCGGAAAACAAACTTGAGATACAGACAAACAGTTTAATTCTTGGAAGTGTCTATTCCTGAAGAATGGTATTTTCCTGAAGAACTACATACATAGAGGTATTTTCAAACATTCAGCTAGACACCATGCTTGTTGCGACTTTCACAACTATATTTCCTGAAGTGTACTACATAGTGCCCTAGATAGATGAGTTGGGTTCAACAAGTACATGTGCAATTTGCTGGATCCTAAAGATTCTCCAACATCCAGCCCTCAGAGATCACCTCTAATGAAGAACCAGAGGGTCATAAAAATCAGGGTGGTAGAATACATTCGAATAGGATACTATAGGGGCAGAGGAAGTAGGGTTCCAGGTAGAAAAGGAAGTAAGTATTTCTGAAAGAGTGGAAGCTTAAGCAAGTCTGAAGAAAATGATCTCTTTGCATGCCATCCTTTGGAGGGACAGAAGTGACACAAAGTGTGAGAAGATACGATACCTTTAAAGTTTAATTGTTTTTATATCTTAAAATGTATATGTCTCCAAGTATGTTCCTAAGTGTATGTGCATGTTCCCATGGAAGCCAGAGGAGGGTTTGAGATCTCTGGTAGGTGAATAGCAGCTGACAAATGTAGGTGCTGATAACCAAACCTGGGTTATCTGGAAGAGCAGCTCCCAGCCACGGAGGCACCTCTCCAGTTCTAAAGTTTCTTGACCAATAACATAACTGAAATGAATGTGAACCATTCCTGATATATCAATGGGTAAATGGAGTTTTATTTGAAGCATAAAATACAATCACAGCTGTTGGGGAGCAATATAAGGCATGGCATTTTGGGGTTCTATGGAGTTTTATCAGAATCAATGCTAGCACTTAATCAATAATTCTCTCACAGATCTTCTAACAATAAAACTGTAACTACCATCATTGTAACTGCTATTGCTTATTGTATGGTATCTATCTGCCACTCACTTGCATCATCTCTCTTAATCCTCAAAACAACCTCATTAGGTTAGAATGACCACACAGTCCCACAAAATATGACAATAGAATATTCTCATTTTATGAATGAGGAAACAGAAACAAAAGAAGTGAAGTTCAACAGTCAGCAAAACATGAAGGGCAAGGCTTAAACTTGGTCTTGTCTTTCCCAAATCCACCTTGCATCTACTCATGGTGCTTGCCCAAATAGTAAGGTAATATGGTAATGAAAATAATAACAATGGTAATAAATAGTAATGATGCTTCATAAAGGGTAAGAGATTTATTAAAGAGAGATAGTTTCAAGGTGCCTCCTCTCAACCCCAGGGCATCCTCCAGCTTTCCAATAGGGCACATGTTTGAATTAACCACACATGACAGCTATCATCTGACAGAGTTCAAAGTTCTCACTGTCATTTTCTTTTTGACATTTGTGGTGATGTTACCCTCCACCCTTCTTCTGACTGCAAATGGTTCCTTACCAGGCCCTGTGGCACCACTGCTGATGTTCACTTAGCAGTAGGACTCAGGTAGGAAGAGATTTTTAAGTCCCAATCAATAGGCTTTAAAGCGTGTTTACTGGGGCATATATGAAGCTGGATGTTGAAAAACAAGGATGGCTGGAAGCCAATTTTTTTAAAAGAAATTCCTTTGAGTGACTGGGGTGGAACTAAGTTTCAAGTACAGTTTTCAAGGAGCCTCATAGAATAGTTGTTGTGCAATCATTGTTTACATGAGCTTCTGGGAATTTTGTTCAGCATGAATTCATTTCACACACACAGTACAGACAACAGAACTTTGTAATATACAAATACTGACAAGGGAAGAAGAGTCACAGCATGGTGGAATCTTTGGGGTTGCTTCAGGTACCATGACTATCCATCATAGCATCAGGTGGCTCTTGTTCACTCCCTGTTCCTCTGAATTCCTTGATTTTGCTTTGGTACTTTCTTCCATCCTGCATGCTGGCACCTATCACTACTTGGGAAATTTCAGGGTGCCTAAATCTTCCCTAAGTCAAACAGTGTGCTGTTCTCCATTTGTTAGGTCATTTTCTACGTGTGTTCACTTAGGCTACATTTGCCCCTGACTATTCCAACTGACAGAGACCATCTGTGTAGATACAAACAGGTTCCAAAGTACAGGGGAGAAAGCTGGAACTTACTTGGCCCCCTTAGTGGACTCTGTTTTCTTACAGCAAGACTTAGTATGGTTGGGCAGCTAACCAGGTGACATGCTCTAGCTTGAGTCCCAGGTTATGTATGTCAGATCTCCTCATTCCCAATAGGTTCTTTGGTTTCTTTGTGAATGAGTATAAAGTCCTCAGAAAATGTACAGAAAACACACTGAACTGATTTATTGCAGAGCAAAGAGGTACATGCAAGGGTAGCAATATGTCATTTAAGCTCCTATGGTCTTGCACATGTGTGAGTGTGTATGCACATGGTTTCCAAGATCCCCCATGCAATTCAGACTCTGATTATCTGCATGATTGGATTCTCCATGACCTTAAGCATAGAGACTAATGCAGTTGACTAATATATCTGTTTCCAGACAAGTAAGATTCTGTATTGTTTTCCACTCATAAAAATTCTGTTATAGCCAGACCTGTAGCCAGACAAAACAATTCCATGAAGAGTCTGATAGATGGGTTGTGGCTGTTGAAATGCCATGTGGAGAAGGATTCTTGTATGCCCTGGCTTCCAGTGGGAAGATAGTGACATCATCAATTAGAAAACTCATAGACATGGATGAGGAGAGGTAGCAGATGTACAGAGCTTCTTTGCCATCCATGCTCCAGGCTCTCACTCTTCACCCACGGCAGTCATCCCTGAAAACTTCATCATACACCATCTGTGATGGAAGAATATTGCTCCAACTCCCATTGTGTCCATTACAGTGCCATTTTGCTGTTCACAGAGATTCAGATCCTGACTTTGAGACTTCATTCAACAAGTTCAGAAGGCTACAGTTTCTTTTCATTCTCCCCAAACAATAAATAGTAACAGGGAAATTGATGCTCTGCCTCGCCATTTTTAATATATTCACTAATTTATGACAGAGGGTGTGCTGGAAAGCAATTCCCCAAATTCACTTAAAACAACTGGTTCTTTTTCATTGGAAAGATTAATGGTGAACTGATATTAAAGTGTTCTATGTAGGCAATACATAATTGATTTATGTAGTGATGGGGTGTCAGGATATTTGGTGGAACAGAGAGATATGCTTCAGACAGGACAAAAAACAACAGTACCAGGAACAAAGGAATACAAATATAAATCCTATCAGCCACTCTGATACTTACTTGTCATGTTGCTGTGACAAAAACCCAACCAAAGCCACTTAAGGAAGGGAGGCTTCATATGTTCTCTTAATCCAAAGGGAGGGAAAGTCATGAGAGCAGGAACTTGAGACAGCAGGTCACATTGTATTCACAGTCAGAGGCAAAGAGCAAGGCATGTGCAGATCCTGAACCCCACCATTCATAAAGGGTTGGTCTTTCCATCTCAAATAACTAAATAATCCTCGACAAAGCACACCTGGACTCATGCTTATCTCCAAGGTAGTTCTAGAGCTCATTAGATTGACAATGCCATCAACTACTACACTTCTTACTAAGTCCACGTAGTATGTGACCTTGCTTTATGCTGAGAACTGAACTAAATAATTTCACATATAATTCCTCCTTTAACACTCACACAACTTTCAATAACTAAGTACATTCTGATTTCCTTTCCATTCACAGGTGAGAGAAGCTGAGACCAAATGTTGCTCCACTAGCTGCTGTGGAGCTATAGTTGGAACCCAAATCTTCTGACCTAAGCCTCGTAGGGTTCATTCTACTATTGCCTACATCATACAAGGGTGGTGACCAAAGATTGCACATTGGTGCTCTTCTGGAATGTACCACAGAATTCTCCCCCAAGGAGGTAGCTAACCATAGGCAGAAGCCAGGCTTTTCAAAATCTGAAAATCCCCTTTGACTTATTAAAAATAGTGCTCTTTCTTTATTAAAGTTGAGTTCAAAAGACCATTTTTGATATAAACAAAACAGCTGGCCAGAGTATTTAAAAGACTTTTCTTAATGATGGTTTCCCATCCTTGCTGTCCATTTA